ATTGACAGTAAATGATAAACAGAAGGGGGGATTCAAAACTGTGAAGTGTATAAATCTGCGTGATGTATTTTGAATTATATTTGATTTCGAAGTCAGGGTTGAAGAGGAGGGACATATGTGTCGCTGTGGCAGCCAGGGGGTTTACACTCTGAAAAAACGATTATGTTGACATAACAGATAATATAACTGATAATAATAACAAACTCGCAGACGATTTCGAGTTTGTTTATTTTTATTATTAATTACACGGTCCTGTTGTTCAATACAGACGTAGGTGAGCATTCGACTGAAGCACGAGCAACTTATGAAAGACTTACACTTAGGAAAGTAGTCCGTCATCATCTGACCCCAGGTCATTACCAAAATCACAATCACCATAGCAACAACAGAACGTTCGATGTTGACGCCTCACAACCAAGTAAGTACGAGGTGTTAAAGAGTGGGCATGTTTTTTTTTTCTAAATAAAACAATAGGTTTACAATATCGATAAATACTATGTGTGTGTCTATTTCCTGGATTTTATCGAGTATTTGCATCTTGGAAATTCATCTCGAGACCCAAAAGCGTTAGCTTGAGGGGCTCGAATGTAAATTTCCAATATCGAACCCGGGTCTTCGGCGTGACGAGAGAACGCTTTAACCACTAGGCTACCCGACCGCTCCACATGTGACAAAGAACCAATAAGCTTGGTGCCAAACCTGAGTGCAGAGTCAATTTCAACTCTTATAATGTTATAATGAAACATCTTTACTCCATGCATTGCACATTGCAGGAGCTGACAACATTCACTATCACCTCCTGTTACACTTGCCCGACTTAAGTGTGGTAAGTATACTTAATAAATACTGAACCGCAAAAGAAACGTCACCCCAAGTAACATTGCATGAAAAGTTGTCATTCAAATATCTTGGTTATTTTTTGTTAAATTTAACATTACCTTGTCCGAGAAAATGAAATTTGATGATAATAAAACAACGCAGATGAGAATAAAACTGATCACCCAAAAGCATCACGGCAACGGCCATGGTAACCCGATGCACGTGAGTTCCGAGCAAATTGAAAGGCGTACAGCGTCCGGCCGGAGAGCGGAAGGTCCGGCGTTCGATCCCCAGCCGCGTCATACCACAAGACGTTAAAAGATGTCACTTGTTGTTGCTCTGTCTGGCGCTCGGCATTAAGGGGCTAAAACGAGGACTGGTCGGCTCGGAGTCAGTACACTGTGTCTGAGTGGGGTATTCATGTTAAATTGCGGCATGTTATCTCAGTGTGCTAGCACTATAAATCGGCCTCAGTCAGGACTAGTACAAGCAGCCACACAAACACACACACGTCACGTACATGCACGTCGCTATATAAGTGCAATGATCTTGGACGCGACGTTAAACCCCATTTCACCTCACCTCACCTCACAATGTGTGAAGCTCATTTCTGGTGTACCCCGCCATAATATAGCATGAATATTGCTAAAAGCGGTGTTAAAAAACATACTCACTCACTATGACATTGTCAGTTATTGCTGCCAAGTCAAATGACAAAGGACACAACTTCTGAACGACTGCATATGTTGTTGGGAGTATTTTTGCTCTGACTGCTCTCTGTCATGTCATTTTTCTCGTGGTGCTGACAATGAAACATCTCTCCATGAAAGGTAAGCTTGGCACATATTGAAAAATTATAAACCCTAAAACAGTATCATTTATTAAAAGTGACGCTCAAAGATTTATTTCCCACACAAGTTTGTTATATGTAGTAACTGTTTTGTATCAGATGTGTTTGAGAAACAGCTTAAATCGTTATCTCATTTTGTTTTTCAAAAGAATTGTAAGAAACTTTATTCATGTATTGGTTTATGTACATCTTAAAATAGTATGTATGTCTAGCGTTTTGTAATGTACAGTACATTTTGGTTATAACGAACCGAAAGGGACCAATTAGTTTAGTTTGTAATAATTGTAGTTCGTTAAAAGCATACGGCATATATACAGTAAATGGCCGGGACCAAAAACAGTTCGTTATAACAGTGTTCGTTATAAACATAGTTTACTGTACATGAGCGATGCCCAGTGAAACAAAAGATAATAACAAAGTAGTGATAATACCCAGACCCCTGAGATAAGAAATCTGTCTTTTGCTGGAAGAAACCTTGAGCATGTTATACCTTCTTTCTCTCTTCAAATTAAGGAAGAAGACACCCTTCAATAAGGTTTGTTTGTTTGTTGTTTGACGCCACACTCAGCAATATTCCAGCTATACGGCGGTCTGTAAATAATCGAGTCTGGACCAGACACTCCAGTAACTGACATCATGAGCATCGTTCCACGCAATTGGGATCAATGACATGCATCAAGCAAGTCAGCGAGCCTGGCCACCCGATCCCGTAAGTCGCCTCTTACGACAAGCGGAGTCGCCTTTTACAGCAAGTATGGGTTGCTGAAGACCTATTCTACCCCAGATCCTGAAATAAGGTATACCTTGGTGACTACATATTCGAACTCTTATCCGGAACATATTTGACAATATGGAAATCTTAAACATGTCCCTTGTGCAAGAGTTGTAACAGATGCCAAAAGCGTTGTTGTCAACTTATCATGCATTGTTCTGAAGTAAAACGTCCACTGATTATATAGTTAAATGGAAGCCAGAAGATTTTATGTCCGCTTCACAAAATTATATGATTCGTTTCGAATGTATCTAATTTTGCCTTGAATGTACATACCAACGTATGGCTTAGCGATGGGAGGTGTGCGTCACGACACCTTTATTGGAACATAAGAAGAACAACATCTACAGTACTGAAGTTCTTGTTACTACATTTCCAGAGCATGCCTACGAAGCGCTGTCAATTCGCCTGGAGGGGAAGGAATAAACCAGGCCATATTGCAAGTTAGTGTTTGTTTAATTGTTGTTTAACGCCACACTCAGCCTATCGCTCAAAATATATCCATTCTTACTATACAAGAAATCAATGTTTAGCCCCAAATTACCATACATAACAGATCAAACTGGTTGTTATGTACACAATACGCATTCTACGTAACACGATACAATCGATATAATACATTTTGTTTCAACCCGCTTCAGGTGTGTGTGTGTGTGTGTGTGTGGGGGGGGGGGGGGGGGGGTTGGCACGAGGGGGCTAATAACCAATGCTATTACCGTGTGCAGAAATCGGATGACATCACTTTAAATCATTGTAATGAGAGCAGAACTTTTAAACCTTTGTAACCTATCTCTCAAAATATATCCATTCTTATTATACAAGAAATCAATGTTGAGGGGCAGTCGTATAAGACGCCCCTTTTCGCTGTGCAGAGTTTCCTCCCACATTAAGCTGACTCGCTGTAATATAACTAGAATATTGTTAAAAGCGGTTTTAAACCCAACTCACTCACTTACTCAACCCGCTTCGTCTTTTTTTTTAAACAGGTAAACAGCAGTTATTAGACAACGCAGGTATAGTCAGGGATGAGTAACTTTGCCATTTTACACGAAATTAAAAGAAAAAGAAAAACCTCCGTGCATTGTTTACTTAACTATCTCAGCACTTAAGATGAGCCACAAGCATAATGTCAACAAATATACGACAGAGATACTTCACTGTTCACAATTATTCCACATAGACACTTTAACGTTTATGACAAGCATACGATTCAACAATTATTCCACATGGACACTTCACTGTTCACGACAAGTTAAAAAAATAACTTGATCAAGTGTTTCACACACATTTGCTATTAAAATATCAAGTAACTTCCGATCTACCTGCATTTGGTTATTATTTGCTATTGATCTCTGAGACGTCAAACTATGTTATTTCACTTACATCTACATTTCTTGATTGAAATCAAACCTTTAATTTATCGTATTCCATTACTAAGAATTTGAATATCTACACTGCTTTATTAATCTCCCGCTCAAGTTGTCCCTACCCAAACACCTCTATGCCCACTGAAAGTCTCTCCCAAACAGATCATACGGGTCAGTGACTGCACGGATTACGCTGAGACATGGAGAAACCACTCATGCAGGTGAGAACGTGCTGTCTCACGGTAATTTTTCCTTAAAATAGAATGGATGAATTGAGAATAAATGATGACATCAGAGCTGCTAGCGTTCCAAGATTTATTTAGCATTTTAGACTGACCGCCGACTTGTCACGGGGATTACTGTTATTGGTCAGCGTGTCAATCTAGAATTGACACGCAGCCGGTGACTGTAATGCGAACGGACATCTATTGTCTAAATTATGTCTCGCGGCGTGCTTTTACAACCTAAGTGAGTTACTGCCATATATGTGAGATGTCCGAGATTTGACTGTAAAGATACGTGAGTTAATTTTATAAATTTTGAATATTATTTTTATATTTTGATATGAATTATTAAGCAAGTTTGCGCACTATAACACAGGGTTAGACAACCCAGGCACAGTAAAGCTCTAAACTTAGACGACCTGGGTTGTAATCGTTCATTTCGAGTTTGTCGGAGGTACTTCCAATTACCAAAAGAGTTTATGAGGGGTGCTCGGGAGAGAGTGTTCGCTGTTACATCGTCCACACCTTCAATATGAAGGGGGTATCCTTGCAACAAACTCCATCGCACACTGGTAAGTGGCGTCTTGGACGTGGGCGAATAATGGTCAGTGTACACAAACACTTGACCAGACGCTGATTGCACGTATACCTCAGTGTTTAAGGGTATTGTTTGATAGGCATTACATAGAAGTTGGCGGGTGACAAAGTAGACACAATGTATGGATAACAATTTCTTTATTTTACTTATGAGCGAGGTTGGTGTTATGTGTACAGACCACTAAGTGTATGGTTGACCTTAGGGATTTGATGGCGAAAGTTATTGTATTCTTTTTTCGCAAATACAATACCAGTGTGTATGAATGATGTTTATTCTCGTAAATCACGGCAGTGATACAAAGATGTAATTAGATACAATAGGAGAAAACATGTCAGTGGAACATTTCCATACATGATCTTATATAACTCGCCAGTTTTAATAGAATTGGCTTATAAGTAATGGACATCAAATGAGAGAATTTTATGGAAGAAGGATACATACAGTAGTATTGAGGCAAAAACTTGTTTCTAATTTCTGAGAGTTGTGGACATTCCAATAAAAAGTGCATTTCATCACATATCAAATTTTTACACAATGTACATTTTCTTTCCTCTCTCACAATATTATGTAAGGAATGTAAAGAACGTGAGAGAATCCTTAAGGACCTGTGCTCATTACCACCCCTCAGTGCAAGATACATATCTAAACTTATACTTGAAGTGTACTACTCCTTTTAATTGTGGAATCAACTACTCATAAATGTACAATTAAAACTAACACGGTGCAGACAAGGATGTTCATAGTAGGTGGATGGGATGAAATAACGTTATCTCTGTTGACTGATTGCTCATGGCGGCGAATGTGGACTGCTTCTGTTAGTTAATTTCGTAAAGTCATAGAGATATTTTAAGAGGATTGGGAATTCAATAACGTGAGAGAGAGAGAGAGAGGAGAGAGAGAGACAGAGAGAGAGAGAGAGAGAGAGAGAGAGATTAGTGGGTCCATGAACATCCTTAAGGACCTGTGCTCATTACCAACCCTCAGCACAATATATTCTACACATATACTTGAAGTGGACTCCTTTTAAATGTGGAATGTACAATTAAAACTAACACTGTGCAGACAAGGATGTTCAAACATTGTTGTACATGGTGGAATAGAGCTAAAGTTCATGGATGAGCTGAAAGAATCTTATTAAAATCAGGCCTTAGTGATCGCTACTGCAACACAAAAATCTGACGACATCCCATTACAGGTTACAGGTCGAGTCAAAACAATGTAATTGTGCAACTACGAACAGTGGCACCATTACAAACACATGCAAAGCTAAACCAAGTGTTCATCTGAAAAGAGCATCAGAGTCAAAATAGGAAATTGCATCGGACATAACTGTTGTCACTGATGCGTCAAATGTGCTACACATGTCAACTATAAAAACCTTTTTTTTGAAAGCTTTACTGGGGCATTGAATATTGAAAACCTTGAACAAACAATGTGGATCTAAATATGAAACGGACGATGCTGTCTCACTGGTCTCAAGGGGTATTCCATACGACAGTTAGGAGCTGAACGATCGCGACAGATTTGAAATGCTTAATAGCGTCTTATCTCTCAAAACAATTGCATAAGCTTTTAAAATGGAAGAGACTATCCACAGCCCAAGGATGGCATAAGGGACATTCCATAGGCAGTAGGAACTACTGCAAAACGTGTCACCATCTCTTATGACATTCCAGAGGTTTGTTGTGATTTTTATTAAGATTAATGAACAAGAGCATATTATCAGCAATACATAGAACATGTGGATGCTTCCATTCTCTCGAAAAGGAGGAAAGAATACACAGCAAATACCAGATAACCAGTTTTTAAGTCAACAAATACCGTCCAAAAGATTATCAAGCAAGTGTGCATGGTTTCATTGTGTCACAAATATAAGATCACTTAATATTTTTTATACAATGAATACGTTATATAATATACGTTTTTGAAACCGCAATGTCATCTAAAAGCGACTTGAGGAGTGACTACCTAATGTGTCATCCATAGTTTTGAAAGAAACGTCTGATACTCCGCTGACTGATACAATGTTCACATTGCTTTGTATGTCCAGAAACTGTTTAGCTCTGCTGTGGGATGTTTTCGTTTTGCAGGTTTTGTGACCGAGAGTCAGTTGATCATGACAACAACGTTACATGGTGATGTACACTGCTGTGAGGATGGCGTCGCCATTGAAGATGTATTCCGGAATCGCATTCGGGTATCTGTCTGTGAAGTTATGTATGCTTGATCCATCTATAGCTAGCTGCAAGGAATCAAATGGAACATCCTAGATTATCCAGTGTATCATATTTACTTTCTTTACCCTGGACACATTCCCTACCACAGCCTCTTTTAGAGACGCTAACAATAACTATCAGAGCACATTTCTATCATTATCGAAAGACATTCTTTGCAAAGTTATTGATAGGAGACATGGATATGGTGACGTCACATAAGAAACAAGGCTACCATGGCGAAATCATTCAAGTGTATTGATAATAGTAGAATGGAGATATAATACAATAGGTAATCGAGGATGAAGGTTGAACAGAATGAAAAAAAAGTTGCATCTTGATTTTACAATGCAAAGTCTCATTCTTATGTTTGAGGTGACTAAATAAATATCCACTGAAAGTTACGGACAAAAGCATTAACTTATATATAATATTTGATTCTCAAAAATGGTAGCATTTTTATTTGGCTTTCTTAAATTAGGACGAAAAATGAAAAAAAAAGAAGATTTAGAATAGTTAACATTGTTGTGTATAGTTACATCCAATGACTTTGCCAATTCAAATTTGTCCGCATTATTGTTCTTGCTTTGTCAACCCTATCCCCCTGCTGTTAGGTTTCTCCAAAGTGGTAAACTTTGTGGACGTGCCCTGATATGACTTAAATACACTTCACAGAGGCCTAAACCTACTTCACACACTCCTATGTCTATGGGATACCAAAGAAAACAAACCTGCTGCTCAACAGGACAATGGTTTCATGACACTGAATGGGACCGTTACAATTTAATGTGTGATGTTTTTTAGTGCAGACTATCACGATCGGGAACACCTACAAGTCTGCTGGACATTTTGGATGGCATACAGTGGGTAATTACCTTTACTGCTTCAAAAGCGTATATTGTCTTATTAACTGTTGATCAGACCCAGACACAGTAATAACTACCTGTTTGTGATCGTGTCAAAGCTCACGTAGAGGATGTTTGAAGAAACAACAACATACCATGTACATGCCTTGATCCAGTCGTATCTCCACCAGAGACTCGATACCTATTGCCAATGGGACCGGCGATAGCTTAATCTCTGCTCCCCACACACCGGAGAATTGTGAGTTGAATACTAGCTTGTTTTCATTCAGTCGGAAGACCATATGATACAGAATATTTCCTCCTCCGTAAAAATTTGTAGTTAGTCTAAAAAACGACAACATATTGTAGGTATATTATATACTTTTTAAAATGTTTTCAGCTCGAATACAAAACAGGCATTAATTTTGGGAAACACGATGGTGGTTCTACCAGTTTTTCTTTGCGATTTAGAATCCTCATTCGAAGTTTGATTAACAAAGGTGTATGGAATTGGAGCAAAGTGATTACATACTTGACGAGATTGGTATAAAGGCTGTTTGTTAGTATTTGTAGCCAATCAAATATGTTTATTTTTTAACAACTACATGCTTTCTAAAAGGTTGGTCTGTAGCCCCCAGAACTGACATATGGAAAAATTGCCCATGTTAAATGGTGGACGGTGGATGTGATATGGTAACAAATGCTAGTGGCCATAATGTTTTGTCTCAAACTTATTTTTTGTGATAATAAATGTAATGTAAAACTGTCGTCCCCATATATGATTGTTGAAGGGAGTTCATTATTGATCACTACATAAGCATTGTATTTCTTATAATATATATCTATATCTATATATCTATATATATATATATATATATATATATATATATATATATAGATAGATAGATATATATATATATACTGGCAAAAGTCAAGATGTGGAGGCTGCAGTCATGCTGCACTAAATGTTCCCACTGTCCACGGTAAAGGTTGCCTAGTTTTTATTCAAGCAATAAAAAGTATTAATTCTATGTCTAAATATGTTTGACGGATTTTTTAAAGACAACACATGTCATGTGAGTATGGTTTTAGCAACATTTCAGCAATATCACGACGGGTGACACCAGGAATGGGCTTCACACATTGTATGCATGTAGGGAATCGAATCCGTGTCTTCGGCAAGACGAGCGAACGCTCCCCGACCGGCCCACAAATGTCATGTATTCCTACAACTTTCTAAACTCTGTAACCTGAAACGGGGCGGATATGACATGTAAGTTTAATTAAAATGCTCGTAACTGCGATAATGGAATCACTGAAGCGGAGATGGTGAGTGAGTTAATATTTAACGTCGCATCAGAAATAAATAGGGGATAACTCCAAACAATTAGGGGAGACAACTTTCAAAAAGTCATACTTCTTTCAAAAGATTGCACATTTGTATGGACATGCAGTTCACTTTACCCAATAATAAAAATCAAACAAATACCACAAGAAACATTTTCAAATCAGTAATGTCATACGATCCCAGTCACTTTGACAGAGGTCCGACCAAAGCATAATTACCCATGGGCAAATAGACCAGCAGCTTTCTCAAACATGCGGCAAAGGGATCACATGACAAAGATTAGAAACACATATTACTCATGTTAAAGATTAATCCTTCTCATTTCATCATGTTGTCGCTCTGATAGGCATTAGTAGTTGAGGGCCCCGATCTGGGACCGCCAAGGATTCTGGGGACCACCCGAGATTCTGGGACCGGAAGTCATGTGACCTGCTCATCCAAGATGGCGGCACTTCCGGTCCCGGGGGTGCCTCCAAGATGACGGCACTTCCGGTTCCGGGAAGGGCGTTCGCATCCAAGATGGAGGCACGTCCTGTTTCGAAGGGGGCATCCCCCCATCCAAGATGGCGGCGACGGGAAGGCTGGAAGGAGGAAGGAGGGAGGAGGAGGGGAGGAAGGAGGGAGGAGGAGGGGAGGAGGGAGGGAGGAGGGAGGGAGGAGAGGAGGAGGAGAAGGGAGGGAGAAAGGGGCGAGAGGAGGGAGGGAGAGAGGAGGGAGAGAGGATGGAGAGGGGGGAGGGAGAGAGGATGGAGAGGAGGGAGGGAGAGAGGAGGGAGAGAGGAGGGAGAGGGAGGGAGGGAGAAGGGAGGGAGGGAGAAGGGAGAAGGGAGGGAGAGAGGAGGGAGAGAGGAGAGAGGAGGGAGGAGGGAGAGAGGGGGAGGAGGGAGGGTGGAGGAAGAATGAGAGAGGGAGGGAGGGAGGAGGAGGAGGGAGGAGGAAGAGTGAGGGAGGAGGAGGAGGAGGAGGAGGGTGTGCTTATTGCGTGTGGTCAGATGTTTTGACGAATCAGAGACCAGAACAGACCCTGGGCGAACTACTGATGGGTCGACAACCCAACTTCTGATTGGTCAGATTGGGGAAGGTTTGTATATATATAGGAGGGCAGACTTTCACCAGGCACTCATAGCCATCATGACTGGCAAACAGAGTACACCGTACCGTTTGGAGAAGGCAGAGACGTCTCGATCCCTACGGTTAAGAAGCGCTAAACATACTTATAGTTTGACATTGAACCTAAACTACTTGGAAACCGTACCACCAGGCCGCCTGCCCCTAGAGCTACCACCTTTATTTGACACGGGGATCGAGGACTTCTATCAACAGATGTCAGGCCAGAAAGGGGGTCGCATTGGTCTAGGTATCCGACACCCCGCTTTGGACACCACCAATTCCAATTCGCCACTTTGAAGATCTCCATGGCCAAGATATCTTGCATGCCATTGAAAAATTCTAACAGTCCAACCAAGACCTTGCCATTGATGCCCCCATGGTTGTGACCTTAGTACACGTAGCAGATCCCGATGGGCTAGGATCAGGCAGTGGCTGACGTCTGAAAAACGTACTGGGAGTGAAATCATTTTTAGAACGCAAAAAGTGCCTTGTACGGATCATGAACGAAGATCAATCCTGTTTGGGAAGGGCCATTGTGGTGGCACAGCATTATGCCCAGAAGCCCAACCCTCCGGCCAAACAATGGTCAAGGCTGAGAAAGGGACTGACGAGAACAGATCGAGCCGACGAGCCGATGGGGATTGATTCACCACCTTGGCATTCCTGAAGGCCCCTGTCAGGGCCTGGACGACCTAGAACGCGTGGGACGTGTCTTGGCCCAAATCAACTATCAACTGAAAGTCTACAGTAAAGATGTGTTCAATAGTCTGTTGTACAAGTGTGAAGAGGCACCACCCGACGCCACCGTGCTGCATTTATACCATCATCATGACCACTATGATGTTATCTCTTCCATGGCAGCACTTTATGGGTCTAAGCATTACTGTGAACTCTGCGACCACAGTTATGATCATCCCGGAAAACATCCATGCTGCAACAATACCGCTGCCACCGCTGCCTCCACTCTACCCCTTGCAGACCCAAGGAAGATCATGGGATGTTGTGCTTGGCATGTCAATGATGGTTCCGAAATCAACACTGTTACACCCGACATCTCGAGTCACCGTCAGAGGGAGGACCCAGCGCCTGTCAATCGATTCACACGTGCCCGACCTGTTTTCAGCTTGTTCGCGTCTTGGAGACACCCATGGACCACCACAAGTGCTCAGATGAGCGAGCTCCATGCTTAGTGGGTCGAGAACCTGTGACCCCAGACGATCGATGCTACGTCACCCCCCTACGTGAAGCCAATGATGCAGAGGGGAGGGAGGAGGGATGCTACAACCAAGTCCGACGAGACAACGTCAAATTCCTCTACTATGATTTTGAATGTACGCAAGAGACGGGGGTGTTCATCCCGAATTTGTGCGTGGTGCATTTATGATGTGGACGGTGTATCGGTTAAGCGACTGAGTGTTGTGCAAATACTGTCCATAGAGAGAAGAAGGTTATGGTCCCAGCCGCAAGAAAGTGTTTCAAGGCCCCACTACGCTAGACGATGTGTGTGCATTGTTGATGACCCTGTCTGAAAAACCCAAGAAGAGGAACCAAGAGGAGGACGCACGCAAGGGGATAGCAGCACGTCTAGGCAAAAGTAAACATGACATAACCCTCTCAAGCCAGCCCCCCACAAAGCGTCGGCGTCGTCAACTGTCCAAGGAGGAGGGGGAGGATGCCATAGAGGTGGACGTGCCCACCCTGTTTGACGAGGAGGAGATGAAGGAGACGAAGAACACCCCCGTCCAGCCGCCTGAGAAGGATGACGTCATTTATGCGATTGCTCATAACGCGGGGGGTATGATCTACACTTGAGCATGAAGGGCATGCTCCCACATCTGGTGAAACCCCCAGCTGAGATTCGGAGAGGGCTACAGATTTTACAGACGAACGTGGGACGATTGTGTTTCAAAGACAGTTTGAATTTCTTGCCCTAGCGGCTGAAAACGTTTCCAGAGACCTTTGAACTGAATGAACTGAAGAAAGGGCATTTTCCTCACTTGTTCAATACCGAGGCCAACCAGACCTACAGAGGTCCCTATCCACCAACGCATGTGGGAGCATGCCCTTCATGATCAAGTGTAGATCATAACCCCGCACGTTATGAGCAATGTGTTTGCTATTGAACCCCGCAGTCCGTCATATTCAAGCAGTATATTTGTAGCCTGTGAATAATCGAGTCTGGGGCGGACCAACCAGGGATTGATTTTGTGAGCACCGTCGGGGGCTAAAGTGACACGCTGTCAATCAAGTCACCGTGCCCGACCACTCGAACCGTTGCTTGGCAAGCATATGTTGCTGGGGACCAACTCTTACCTGGAATTCCCACGGGGCAAAATACACATTCAATACATGTAGCTACATTCTCTGAGCGCTCACGCTTGCTCTTTTGTGTACCATAATTATGAATGCAAATATCTATCCTTTACGGTTTATCGGCCGTTGGAGTGATGTACATTGCCACTTTGAAACTCCTTGAATTCCCACAAGGCACGACGAAGCGGGAGTTCATCACCTGTGATAACAAAAAAAGTATGAAATATTTTTCACAAACTTGATAGTTTCTGTATCATTTTGTCAACAGTTTACGTACGACTCGCAAACATCCACGTAATAAAGAAATATTCATGATAAGTCGTAAAAAAACAAACATAATTCAGACAATTAAACATGTTTGAAGGCAACATACAGGAACTCAGGTCTTTTATGTTTAATTTCCGCCTTTGATTTCTTAACTTCTTTCGGGATATTGTGAAATCATTTTTGCTTATTTATGACATCAAACAATCCACCTTAATTTGCGGATTATTAAAAAGAACTGGTATGGCAAGGACGTGTTCATTGTACAATAACTATCTCTGTCTCGGCAAAATCCGAATAATTACATGCTCTTATATGCTGTTTATGGAACAGTTGTGCACACATCTGCATTGCCAAAGCAAATGAATGACGCTTCTGAGATGTGCTTTATTGTACGAATTTCTTTGTTGTTGCGTCGCTATATGGCTGAAATAATGACGTTAAAATTTAACTCACTCACTTTGATGTTGCTGATACCTGCCTTTGTGCGATGAACATCGAATCGAATTCCCATTATACATTTATTCCCACATACTTTTCCTTCCCTCTCTTACGCAGCTACAAGAATCGTCTTATGAGTAATATTTCACACAAGGGCAGACGGAACCGGAACAAGTTCCAAAGACGAAACAAGCCCAAGATCTGTCACTTCTTCAATGGCCTATATTCAAGAGTATATTGATAAGTGCACTACGTGTCGTTGTTGTTTCTGAATAAATTCTTAAAGCGGTTTTATTTGGTCGATATTTTTCCATCTTGTCACAATCCTTAATTACACCCGGAGAAGGGAAGGTCAATATTCGGTCCCCGACCGCGTCATACCAAAATACGTTAAAACATGGTACTTGTTGTTGCCCTGCCTAGCGCGGTGCATTATGGACCTAAAACAAGGACTGGTCGGTTCGGAGCCAGTACACTGTGTCTGAGTGGGGAATTGATGTTAAACTGCGGCATGGTATCTCTGTGAGCTGGCACTATAGAATCAGCATTAGGTCAAGCTGGTACGAGCAGACACAGACACACAGACACACACACACACACACACACAGACACACACACACACACACACACACACACACACACACACACACACACACACACACACACACACACACACACAAACACACACACACACACACACACACACACATGCATGAACGTCGCTGTAAAAGTGTAATAATCTTGGACGCGACGTTACACCCCATTTCATATCACCTTCATACTCAACGTTCATTTTACCACAATGTCATAACAATCTTACCGGGTTGTCCCAACTGTACTGTGCGCACGGGCCGACAGAACCGTTCCAATTTCCTGTCAACTGGCAAACTCTGCTGTGTCTTGCAGTGCACATCATAAAGTTGTCCCTGCAAGTGTATTCTGCAACTGCTCCTTCGTACACTCCCTCATAATGCATTTCAGCATTGGCAACAGCAGGTGGTGCCGCACAGCCTTGAAACTCTGTAACTTAAATAACAACGAAAGCGATATAGATTTTACTTAACAAATCGGTCATTATCAGGATCTTGGATTTTAACCCACCAATAACATCAGATAAATGTGTTGGCTACTGGTATATACTGAACGGCAAAAGAAACGTCACCCCAAGTAACATTGCATGAAAAGTTGTCATTTAAATATCTGGGTAATTTTTGTATAAGTTTCTAAAATTTAACATTACCTTGTCAGGAAATATGAAATTTGATGAAACAAACCCAAAGCAGACAGACCATAGGGACACACCAGAGACGCATTAGTGTGGACACCATGCGTCGACGATTGACGAGCAGACACCTCCACTGTCACAGGCCACACAGAGGACCCATTCTGAAACCACGTTATCGTCGGGACCGTCTTCAGTGGGCAACACAGCACCAGCATTTGAGATGAGTCCTCTTCTCAGACGAGAGCCGTTACTGTATCTCAACAGCAGATGGCAGAGAGAGAGAGAGAGAAAGAGTATGGCGACGCCATGGGGAACGTTATTCGGATGCTTGTGTTGATGAGATAGAATCGTGGCGTGGTCTGAGCATCATGGAATAGGGTGGAATTGATCTTGCACAGAGGGTCGGCCCTGTGCTCTTCCAGAACATCGGTCCAGGGAGAGGCAATGGTGTCACAGCAGCTCGGCACATTGATCAAGTCTTGAGACCACACTCCATACTTCATTTGGCACGTCGGCGCAATCACAAGTTTCAGCATGATAACGCCAGTGCCCATACTGCGAGAGAAACAAGAGACTTCCTCTAGCAGAATTGCATCAGAAACATGCAGTGGCCTGCCCTCAGTCCCAATTTAATTCCCATTGAGCACCTGTGGGACGAGATTCAAAGACGGCTGAATGACGTCCGACCAAGGCCGGCAACTGCAGCTGAACTGCGTCAGGCGTTCCTCAGGGTGTTGGCTCAAGTGCCTATGGCCTTCATCAACCTGCTTATCCATTCCATGTATCGACGTTGCACGGCAGTCATTAATGCACATGGCGGACACACGAGATACTGACTTGTGATGCTATTTTCTCAGAGACTAGTGTTGTGTTTCACTTTAAGAACATTTGACTCTTTAATTTCAACCTTGATTATCAGTTTTGTCAAGTTTCATCTTTTTAATATGTCTCAAAGTATGTTTAGTGTGTTTGGACAAATGAGGTTTCTCATATATCTATCCATGGTGACGTTGCTTTTGCGGTTCAGTATATTTTAGAGGTCACTGTCAGTAAAGAATCATTAATACCCTCTTTTATGTCCTTTCGTATGACGCGGCCCGGGGTCGAACCATCAGCCTCTCAAGCGAGACACACTTTTACAGTATGCTTCCTCACCCCAGCCCAAGCCAAATGATTCCAATGAGAGATAACGTAAAATAGTGTTAATGTTCTGTTACATCAATAGCTTACCTGTCTCACATGATGCCCGACCCAGTCGATCTAGATAACATCTGGACATTGGACAAAGTTTCCCCGAGCAGGCGCCAGCGAGTGACTATGTAAAACAATACATGCATATGGCGTTACGTGTGCTTCCAATACACAAAACGACTCAGCTGGACTTTTAGCCAGCCGAAATGGGAAATGTAAAATGTTTCAAAACCAGTAATTCTACCAGCTGTTTTGATATAGATGAAATGCGACTGTTAACATCCAAGCGCCTCACAGGGCAGCTTGCATTGTATACCCCCCAGGGAGCTGATAATGAAAAGCGAGTACCCACAGGTCAAATGACCGGGATGATAATGTTGGCGCTTTGAGCATGCACCGAGTGTATGGAGGCTAGCACAATATAACTAGCCACATTATGATAATGATAATGATGATGATGTCCAGATAAAAATACAAAATGCATCAAATAGGGTTTGGGTGATCCTGGCACAATCAGGCTGGTTAGACTCTTGTCCCCTCGACATGCAGCCCAGACAGCGAATGGGACTTCTCCCTGGAAGCGCTGCCTAGTCGAACACAGACAGAACTTTTCGGAGAATGTGACGACTCCCCAACACTGCAGCCTTCTGCATTACCCAGATTGTCAGAAGGGTTGTATTCGTGGCAGCAAACCTGGGTACTCTAGGATTTTGTTTAAGAATGACATTTGTTTTTTTTATCTATATGGGACTTGTAATCTTTGGTTTTGGTTTGGTTTGTTGTTTAAGGCAATATTTCAGCTACATGACGGCGGTCGGTAAATAATCGAGTCTGGACCAGGCAATCCTTAATAAACCCACAGCATTTACCGATGTCGAAAAGGCTGATGTACTCAATAATCATTTTGTTTCTATTTGTGATGTAGGTGACAGCAATCATCCAGTTCCGGATTTCAGTCAACGTTGTGAAACCTCTCTCTCGGATATCACAGTTACTGTATCAGAAATAAGCGTTGTCATAAAAAGACACTACCATGTTATAAATCAAGCGGACAAGATAATATAAACCCTAGACTTTTACAACCCTAGGCTGACAGTATTGCCATCCCATTATGTATAATTCTCAATCGATCTTTAAAAGAAGCAATCTTTCCAGAAAACTGGAAACTTGCTCACGTCATGCAATTATACAAGAAAGGTGACAAAGCACTACCCTCAAACTACAGACCAATTAGCTTGTTATCTATTCTTGGAAAATTACAGGAGAGATTAATTTATAATGATATCGTCTCATCTGTTGACAAGCATGAATACTATTATATGGTATTCTGTGATATATCGAAAGCATTTGACAGAGTTTGGCATAAAGGACTACTTCATAAATTACAAAAATACGGTGTAACGGGCAAGCTATTACTATGGTTAGAAGACTATATTAGTCGGAGGAGACAAAATGCTTTTCATCTTTGAAATTCACCAGAGCCAGTGTCCCCCAGGGCTCGGTATTAGGTCCATTTTGGTTTTTAGTCTACATCAATGATCTCACTGATAATCTAGTGAATTCTACTAGCCTTTTTGCAGACGATACAGACGATACCATTGGTACATTATCTCTTCACTTACAAATGATAGAACACAGATTAAACAGTGATCTAGAGCTTCTCAATACCTGTGCCAATAGATGGCTAGTTAAGTTTAACCGGGACAAAACAACATGTATTCTGTTCACTCATTGTGAGAACCTCACTGCAGATATTATTTATAACAATACCGCACTTAGCGCATCTATCTCGCACAAACATCTGGGCGTTACTCTCTCTCATGACATGAAGTGGACAACTTACGTTGATAACATTTGCCGCTCAGCTTCCAAAATGATTTGTTCGTTAAGAACCGTTAAATATTTACTTGACAGACCAACCCTGTCCCAAGTCTATATTGTTTTCGTAAGGCCTATATTAGAATATGCTTCAGAGGTATGGGATAACTGCAGACAAGAACATTCCGAAAAACTTTAAATGATTCAACTCGAAGTCGCTCGCATAGTAACAGGTCTTCCTAAATTATCCTCAAGATCGAGTTTATGTTTTGAGACAGGATAGGAATCACTATCTTATAGAAGGAAAAATAAAAAAATCTTTGTACAATCTGCAGTATTGTTAATAACCTATGACCATCATATTTACATAACACGTTACCACCCAAAGTATTAACTATTAGTAGATATGAGTTACGAAATCAGAACAACATGAATTTGCCGCATGCAAGAACAGTTACGTACCAACACTCATGTATACCTTCTTCAATATAACTGTTACCCCCGGAATGCAGAAGTGCAACATCATTATCAAATTTTAAACATAATAGTAAAACAACCATTGCGGCTCCACCTCCATACTTCTCAACCAGCAACCGAAGAGCTAATATTTTACATACACGCCTAAGGCATTCTTGCAGTTCACTCAATGCAGACCTCTTTAAAGTAAATTAATCTGACACTTTGTCCTGCTCATGTGGAAACCCATGTGAAAACAACATACACTTTTTTCTTGAATGTCCCATTACACTATTCCCAGAAATATCATGTTCGCTAACGTTATAAAAGCTTGATCTACATGCACAATACAAAATATACTCTACGATGATGTATCCCTAGCTGAAAGTCACAATACCTCATCTTCAACAGCCTTCCAAAATAGATACTGTCGACTAATAGATTCGAGTAACCCTTTATCATAGATATAGAATATCGCTCTGGGACCACTTATTATGAATTACGACATTAGTGTATAAACTTCATGCATGTACATGAATACATGGGTATCTCTGCCTCCTTCTGTAAGCATAATGTTTACGGGTATGTATATCCTGATGTATGTGTGTAAATATGGGTATGTGTATGTATATATATGTATCCATGCATATACAAGGGTATATGTGTATGTATGTAGTGTGTGTATGCGTGCATATATATGTACATGTATATCAGTATATTTATGCTTGTGTAATTATATATGTAGTCTTGCATGTATTTTGGATTAATGTGTATATACAAGTAAATTGTGTTTATATAGGCATTTCTTATGTATGTCTATGTTATTCTTGCAAACATTATGTTTGTGATCTTGTGTAAATATAATTCTCTTTGTTACTATAAATGTAATACGTGCATATGTATATGAGTATGTGTATGTATGTATGAGTATATATGATTATGTGTATGTAAGATTATGTGCATATGTATTTATACTCACACGCGAAAGAAACGCAAGTGGTTTTAAACAAATAGGCAACAAACACGGAACCATAAATTGATACGAGTTTTAGCCTGTAGTGAAGCCTGATCGTGTTATCAATATGTTTGGTTGCATTTTGGAAGCCCCGTGTAAAAACGCAACATAAAAAAAGAATCGCCAAAACGCACCATTTTAATGAATATGTGGGTATCATGCACCCATTTCTCGCGAAATCGAAAATGCACGAACTGTCACGAACTGTAGTGGGTATAAAACTGTGGCCGATTCTTGGACCTACCACTCCTTGGTCAACAATGCCATGCCTAACTCAAATTCAGAGAAACCAGGCTATCGGACGTTTGGAAGCTGGAGAGTCTGTCGGAGATGTTGCCCATCATTTCAACGTTAACATAACCACCATTTACCGTCTCCTGCATCGATACAATGCTACACAGACCACAGATGACCTTCTTCGGAGCTGTCGTCCTACAGTCACCACACCTCGACAAGATCGGCAGATTACCCGTCAACACCAGCGACATCCGTTCCTAACTGCAAGTGAAAGTGCTCGACAGACCATAGGAACACATAATTGACACATTAGCCGGGACACTGTGATCCGACGTCGCCGTTCCAACAACCTCAGATGTCGCCGACCAGCATGTCCTCCTGTTCTCCAACCACGGCATCGACAAGCACGACTCCAGTGGGCACAGGGTCATAACATCGTGAGTGGAGGCGTTTCATCTTCTCTGATGAAAGTCGCTTTTGTGTCTCCCATGCAGACGGAAGAGTCAGAATTTGGCGGCGTCCAGGTGATCGTTTCGCTGACAGAAACGATGTGGAAAGGGATCCATGGGGTGGACCTAGCGTCATGATATGGGCAGGGATTAGACTTAATGCGAGACTTGGACCCATGTGATTTCCGAATGTTGGTCAAGTTCGGGGACACGGTGTCACTGCTCAGCGGTATACCGACCAAGTGATCAGACCCTACGTTGTTCCATTTTTTGCACAACATCAACAACACATTTTCCAGCAGGACAACGCTCGTCCCCATGTTGCCAGAGCTACCATGGCCTTTCTGCAAGAACACAACATCCGTGTTCTACCGTGGCCAGCCCTCAGCCCTGACCGGAACCCCATCGAACACTTGTGGGATGAGGTTCAAAGGCGTCTGCACAATGTGCGCCCAGTCCCTACAACTGCCGATGAACTACGCACAGCTGCTCTTGATGTGTCCAGGAGGATCCCTAGGGCCTTCACAAATCGTCTGATCATCTCAATGTACAGGAGTTGTGTGGCAGTTATCAATGCTAATGGTGGTCACACCAGGTATTGACTTACATTTTGGGTATTGACCCGAAACTGTGTAAGCTCTTAACATTTGCAAAAAAAAACAATCATGTCATCTGCCTTTTAATCGATTAAACTTCTTCAGTCAAACTTGTGTCAATCTTGCCCTATTAGTACTTCTTGTCTTTACTGTTGAAAATAAATAACATTTATACTGCATACTTGACTTGTGTTTCTTTTGCGTGTGAGTATATTTCTGTATACGTATGTATAAGTATGTGTGTATGCATATGTGTATATATATATGTATAATCAATGTCTCTAGATATAGAGTACGGAAAGGGCCACCTAAATTGGATAACCTTTGCCCAATCCCGTTGACCATATATGTTAATAAAGTATGTTTAAAACAAATCAAACACTATATCTCCCTGTAGAGGGGATTAAAATCTAGTTTAACATGTTTTCTATAAATGTAATGATGATCATCATGATCAACACGACCATCATCATCAGTAACATCATCATCTCAAAATATTTGTTTTACTCTGACGAATGTCGACAATACACGCAGTGAACTCTGGCATATTTTGTCACTTGCGACAGTATATGCCTGGCGACAACATGTGACGTGAACGTTGGCATACATGTATATTGACCGGCGACAATATATGGGTAACAAAGCCTCATTGCACATGAAATAATTATTGCACGCGAAAAATAATAGCTATAATTAATAATATAACAATACCTTAGGCCAGTGGTTGATGTCACTGTAGAGAAATCCTGGCTGCGTTGTGACGGCCACCTGGTCACTGCTGTTGCTGTTGAGTTCACAGATGCGAGTCTTGGTCTCAAAGTTGAAGGACATGCAGACTGAAGACATCAGACATGCCGATGCACAGGAATAGAGAGACTGTGACCTTACTTTCCTAAATATGTAACGTTCAATATGCGCATCTAACGCCACAACAGAAGAGGCATTGAAGCAAGTGCAACATCCTGATCCTACACCAGTCAGGAATAGGACTATGGTAAAAAGTCTTAAATGCATTTCTGTTTTCTCAGAAACGAGATCGGTAAGAGAGAAGAGAAGTATTGATGAAGTTTGCTGACGAAAACGTAGTTATTATAGATATATTGTCCATCTACCCGTCCTCAGTTATGGAAAGCCATACACAATTCCTGAGTGGAATATTCTTTGTGAGCTTACTGTGTTTGGCTTCAAAGATAAGACCGCCCCTTTTAGAAACAGTACTCGAGTTTGGCGTCACTTCTACATTAATTATTATACAATAGGAGATCTTAGATATAATCGTTAGCAAATACGTAAGAATTGATTGAGTAAGGGATATAGTCGACAAATCACCATTGTCAAAGAATCAATATAACTAAATTTGCAATGGATGTCCATGAATGTGTTCTTTTGTACCAAACGATACAGGGAAACAGACAGAATAATCGATTGCAACTCTGTTTCTCAGTGATATAGAGTTTGTTAAGCTGCTGAGTTCAGATTGAGAATTGAATTCCGTTATTTGATTTCACGAGCATGTACAATGAGCTCACAAACCAAGATTCATTATCCAAGGAATTTAATCAGGAATTTTCATCAACGATCGTAGAATTCTGGCTCGCATAAAGGACAGCCTAGAGAATTCGTCCATTGTAGATATGGATAGTTTTTTCAGTAAAAATGTCGGAGGCGTTTTCCAACACATTGGCATGGTGCTGACATACGAAGGAACAAACTCAAGGGAAATGTTGAATTTGGTCACAATTTAGCAGATCTTGACACACCTAATGGGCAGGCTTCTACTCAATCAAAACTGTGTCTTGTCTTTTTGAATAATTTGTGTGTGTGTTTGTGTGTGTGTGTTTGTGTGTGTGTGTGTGTGTGTGTGTGTGTGTGTGTGTGTGTGTGTGCGTGCGTGCGTGTGTGTGTGCGTGTGTGTGTGCGTGTGTGCGTGTGTGTGTGCGTATGTGTGTGTGATCTTCCGCCCGAAGGGCAGACGCGCTCGACCACTTGACCATGGAGGCGGTCTACTTAAAAAGGGTTATGACGATATATAAATTAGATAATGACTAAGGGAGCTAAACAAATTCTAATAATAGTCAATAAAATGAGACAAAACTGATCATGATCACTAACTTTTGTGTTCAAGAGATATGAAACCATACGTTGATAGGAAAAGAGACTCATGATGTGGACAAAACACATCTGAACACCTCAGCTGCATAGAATGCTGTCCGCCAGTTTCTTTCTTTGCCTTTGATTCGGTACTTTTATCATTTTTATCAGGGACTTAATAATAATATCCATTTTAAAATACATTAACCTTTGATGTTATAATTAGCGCCTGTTAAAACAATGGCCAAAATAGTAAGAATAAGTATCTAATTCTATGGTGGATTGCAGACATAGTGGTTAACAAACCACGTCAATTCACGCTGACCTTAAAGGTTGAAAACAAAAACATCCACTTCGTCAATCAGCAATCAAGCCTCTCTGAGGTTACCGGCTATTGCACTCTTCAAACAAGCTGGGAATCAGGACATGTTTATGCCATCTATTAGAACACAGATAAATTATAACAACAAACATCCCAATCAAGAACATTTATGTTGGTTACCTATAATACCAAAATACAGCCTATGGTTTCCACGTACCTCACGCACACAGCAAAAAAAATGCAGTTTCCAGTATCCGGATACCTGCCGGATACCACCGGACACTTACCCAAAACGCGTCCGGGTATCCGGTGGCAGATACCTTGCCGGATACCAGATCTGTGGTATCTGGCATGGACACCTCACCGGAAAGTATGCCACCTGGAATCCGGGTATCCGGCACCGGATACCTCACCGGTTACCTCAATCTGGGTGTCCAGGGATCCGGCACCGGATACCTCATTCTGAGTTTTCAAAAACATGTCACAATTTGGGGGGTGCATTTTGTTCAATTAAGTGTAAAACACCTAAATATATATTGGAAACTAACCATGAAAATTGAACATTGCTGAAGGTATCCGGCAGGAATCCGGCAGGTATCCGGATGCAATTTTAGAGATGTCTTTCTCCTAGTAAATAATGTTAGCCTGGGCATAGCAGATAGCTGTAGTAATATTCTGTGTTATTTTAGTTGTAAATATCCCATTAAAGTTGAGATCTATGAGCATGTACTTTTGGTGAAAACATTTTTCAAGTTCATATATATTTCATTTTAGATGTTAAGCGTATTAAATGAAAAGCATTCAGTCCTGGTATGATGGTATCCTTACATTTCATCTTCATATTCCCAGTTTGTTCTAGCCTAGTGGTTGAAGCGTTCGATTCACCACATCGGTACATTGCTTGGTGTCACCCATCATGATATTGTTGGAATTTTGTAAAGTGGCATAACACCATACTCACTCTGACAAAAAAAATGAGAGTCATTGGCTATGTGCTCACTTGGGCCTTTGTTCCTGGTGAGATTAAAAGATTATTTTGGAACTGTATCAGTACTTGTTACATCTTGACAGACGAGTTTCGTTGAAGTTTGAAACAGAATATCATTAACCCAAATTTGTGCATAAGACTAATGGCATCCACAGAAAACACCTAATAAAGTACTGGTACATAAAAATATCAATGTAATTTTTCTACTGACATGGAACTAAAAACTTCGTTCAGTGAGCTGTATTAATTGTAGGAAAACATTCAGGGCATTAGTATATTTGATATATGTTAGCACCTTTGTTATGAATGATCAATATCATATTTCTTTAAAGAAGCAAAACAAAAAAATTGTTCAGATAAAAAATCATATTTATTGATTTAATGACATTTCATTGGTTCAGTAACCAGAGGTGCAAGAACATTCAAAATCTGAAACAGATGCTTCAATGCCATTTTCTAAATAAACAAATTAGTCAAATCTCAGAAGAATTTCAAGGTAGAAGAATATCTAAAGTCAATTATGTTTGTGCAGTAAACCACAAAAGTCATTCAGATTTGTATAGTCAGCGTCAGTGCACACCACATAAACATAGTCTCACTGCTGTGGTATTAATTCCTTTAGACTTGATTAATGTCGTAATAAAACAACCTACAGAATCACACTGATGTGGCATTATTCATTCAGAATCATCACTTTCTGAGGTGAACCTGTTAGTTGTTCTGGGGAGGATTATTCATCATCCGGAGAGTCCTTTGTATGACTTGTCTGATCTGGTGTCATTATGAAATCCAGGTGCCTGAAACAATTTATAACATCTTTAAAAGCTTGTTATTAAAAATATAAGAAACACACATATATTGACAAAGGGTAAAAAGTTGGTTTCACAATGAGTAAGGTAATGACAATTTATCAAGCAACTGTTAACCAAACCATGTTAACCAATGTAAAAAAGCTATAGCAAACAGTAAATTTTACAGAAAATACAAAATTGTAATTGATCTTCTGAAAACAATTCCTGTAGTGCCATTAGGCAGGCTCACCTGAATTTTTCTCAAATGTTTGCATTACATCAAAACATAAGGAAGGGTAAACAAGGCAATGCAAATTGCATAAAATAGGTTCTTATACATAAAAACAGAACTACCGTATTTGACGTAATAAGCGCCTCGCTCTAATAAGCGCCCACGGGAATATTTGCTAATATATTGGCTAGTGAACAATCCCAATTAGCACCCTTTCCCATTGATCAATGTATACAAGACTTATTTATTTGTGTATAATACACACTCGTGTGTGATATGCACCCTTAATTATGGGGAATTTCATTCTGGAAAAATATATTTGTCATACATAAACATTTCAGGCTGCCAGCATAAACCACGAAATTTTGAGAGCGTCCTGGATGCTTATTACGTCGAATACGGTATTCATAACTATCAAAACTTTCAGTCACACAAGTCATGTAAGTGATATCAAAATACTATATAATGAGTGTGCAAGTTAGTATAGTTCCGCACAGCTTTTAGCAATATTCCAGCAATATATCTGCGGGGACACCAGAAATGGGCTTTTCACACAGTACCCATGTGAGGAACAGAACCCAGTGCTTCGGAGAACGCATTACCCACTAGGCTACCAAATACAAATATCATCTCAAATACAAAAGTAAGTAACATTAGGATTTCATACAACAGATATTTTCACCAAATATCAAGTCACTATACAACTGATTGAATTACTGATTAGAGGAGCAAATACATTTCAATGTAGCAGCTGAATCAGGCTTAATTTGAATCGTTCCTTGCTTTAGTTGCAATGGGAGCCACACTGAAAATAATTATCTCACTTATTATTGATATTTAATATCTACCATTAATTGGTAGGCCAAAATAGACACTGATACAAAAAATCAACTGAAAAGAACCGCCTGAACAATCGACTACAAACTATGTATATTACATTTAAGGGACCCAGGGTGGGGCTGGGGTGCGCACCCCCCTTTTTATTTCGAAAAAAATCTTTATTTCTGTATAAATTACCACCAAAGACAATAAAGAGATCTTAATTGTGCTCCCACACTTTTAAAAAAAAGCTGTATCGGCCCATGAATAGTCATGAGTAAAATCATTATCATATTTTTATCATTTATCCTATCGTTAATTAAGATTAACAATAACGGGAAAAACTGCCAAATATATTGGTCAAGTGTAATCATAATATAAGTAGTTCTATTTGGTTTTGGAACTTTTCAAGGGTAATTGTAAATATATGTGTATTCCTATTTGAATACTCATTTGATTGTTATACAGTTACACAGTATTGCATCTATCGTCTGTTTCTAAATACAGTGGAACCCGTCTTTGACTTGTGTGACATAATTGAATCATACCCCAAGTTCATTATGCATTGTTATGCATCTGCACAGAGTGGTCAAAGTCCTTGTCACACACATAGTTTGCAAAAAGGCAGAATCCAATAAGTACAGCTGAGACATCAGGTTGTATCCAGACAAACTGTCTGATAATCTCAAGTATGGTCTTGGTAGCATCAAGGGATGTAGCTAATCCTAAATAAACATTAAACAAGTGACATAATCTCTTCTACAGAACACTTGATCAAAGCCTGCCCCACCTTTGATGTTTATCATCTCGTTACGCTCACAACAGCTCATTAGCAAGATGAACTCAATGTCAACTCATGGTGGATTAGGGATTAACAGGGCAATTAGTGTCAGGTGGGTAT